GTTTTTTCTTTCTTTTTTATTGAAATGGCTAAAAAATTCGTGACGACGAAAGTGCCTGATATTTGACCCATATACGAACAACCGTTGGTTTGTTCCAAGGGAGTAGGCGGAGAGGGGGGGGGTGCGATGAAAGTTTCGTCCCAACTTTAAGACTGCGGAATAATAAACCAGCCAACTACCAAGTTAGGGGGCATCAGATAGATGTTTAAGAAATGGACGATAGTAATTGAATAATCCGCGATGAAGACAAATTTGAATAGTTTTAAATGTGATATTATTTTATTCTTAAACAAAACAAAACACACTAGAATAAAAAACTAAGGCTAAAAAGCTAGAATGCCTGGGATGTCTTGGGGTGGTTTCAACCCCTCCCTCGTCGACCAGGAAACAAAAATATAAAAATCATAAAACCCCGCGGACCCTCATTTCTAATGCTAAGAAAGAGAGGTTATCACAAAGGCTTAGAATAAATTCCTTAACTCCTTTATTCCTAAATTCCGCATATTTTTGTAAATACTTTGACGCGTGCTTCTCAAAAATCGACGTCTCAATTCTCCAACATCTGACGCACCCTTGCCCGTACGAACGTTTTGAATTGCCTTTCAACTAACTGAAGTGTGACAAACACACCCCTCACTGGAAAGAGAATGTAGGTTTATCAACAATTTTAATTTCAGATTAAATCGTGTTTATATTAATATATTTAATAGTAGGTATACTTATAATATTAACTATTATGCTATCATAATTATACCGCATGTTATGTATCTATTTTAGTAAAACGGAGGATGATATTAAAAATAAAAAACCTTGTTATTTGGACAAATTTTTCAGTTAATTTTTGACGATTGCGTGGCTTCTGATTGTGAGCTTGTCTCGAGGCTGACTGGGGTATACACAATTTGTTCGAATGGCGCCTTACGATCTTGGGGCCCCTGTAGTGTGACTGAATTGCATTTTAAGCTCGTAATGACACAGACCATTCTTATTGCCTTGGGCTCTTCAGAACCGGATTTTTTGGTCTCGTATTTCCATTGGATGCGATGAGATTTGGTGATAACTAATCCCTCGCTCTGACAGTGAGTCCTCATTTCGCTACCCATTAATTCCATCCCGTTGCACTTTTTAGAGGTTGCGTCTTCTTCAGTGGCGTGGCGTGATTATAAATAATTCCTCATTTGAAGCTATGATAAAGAATCGATTATTAAGGTGTTCGCTGCGCATGCGAACATCGATCCTTTTCTATAGATTAAATGACCGGTCAATCGATACATCGCAAAGCACGCCACGCCACTAGTCCTCTTCGACTCTTCGAGAGACGGCTTAAGTCGTTTACACTCAACACCATCACTGATTGGGCCCAAATCATGTTAGCCAGCTTATTTACGGTTGAAAGTTACGGGAATAATGTTCACCATATTATTTGATCGCTAATGAATGGTCTGCATCACCGAGAAACTAATGATGATTCGAGCATGCTATAGAAAAAGCTCAACTTGCGCACGGTTTCATTTTAGAATATCATGTTTCCGACTAAAAGTCGAATTTATGCAAGTTTCGCACCTTGGGGTCAACCGTGAACTGAAACCATTTGTGGCCAGAAAAATATTTGATGATCTGATTTCATTTACTTACGAAAAGGATATTTTGGTTGGAAAATTACGAAAGCATCGCAACTCTGTAAAGCCCGGTTATTTCGCTAGATTGCTTTTTTTCATTCCCCTTTTTTCTGAAGGAGTCTCCATAAATTTTTGGCATAAAATTTTGGGAGATTTTTTCCTTCCTCTTACAATATTTTGTGAATACTTCGCGCGAAATGTCTTGTAATAGTTTACCAAAAATAAAGTTAAAATTATTCGAATGCAAAATCGGTTTTTTTTTATTATGAGAAAAAATGGCAAATTCGCGCGGGGAATTTAACTCTCCTTCGAATTTCACCCGTTTCGCATTACCACATCGCAAGTGATAAAATTGACAGAAGTAATTCATATGAAAGAATCGCAAAAAATTAAAATAAAATGTAAGACTCAGTGTGGGTTTTAGCCGCGGTGGTCTTTGAAATCTTAAATATTATTGTATTTTTTTGCAATTCTTTCACAAGAAAAACTCAAAAAAACTTTTGAAAAATTCAAAATGAAACCAGTATTTTAAAAAATATGTTTCTCACCTCAATCTTTGCTATTCATGTAAGAGCAAAATGAAATTCGAACTTAATTGCTTACGATTTCAAATTTTGCTATTTTATTCATGCCCAACAGCGTTGTTGAGTCAAAAACGGGAACAGGACCTATGCGGGCTATGCTGTATTGCTAAGTAAAAACAGCGTACGTGCATTCAAATGTTGCCAAATTTCCTATCAGAAAACATTTATTTTTAAAGAAAGCTATGAATATATTTTCTTGAAATTTTCGGACTCTAAACATTAAATTACGAACAAAATCCTCTAAGAATAGAAGGAAAAATATTCCCAAATTTTCCTGAAAATCCTTAATTTGTCGAAGGAAATTTGGCAACGCCTAATGGCTAATACGACGTTCCTTCTTAGTACTGGCAGGTTGCGACCGCAATGTGCGGCAATTACTTGAGAACCAGATGCCGAAACCGTCATTTGCAGGGCGAAATTACCGGTGTCGAGATGCAAAACTCCTCCGGCTCCGAGTAAAAAACAAATTTATTTTAGTTTAAGTGCAGTGCTCAGCGCCTCACCTAAGACACCTGAGACACGGGCTCGGCGTTCGTGTGAAAGTGATTAGTCCGCGTGATGATTGGCAATCTTGCCACCGGCGCACAGTGGGGCGAGCTTATGGAAGAGGTCTGACATGAAATTTTTGGCTAAAATTTCAAATTTTTAAGTTTATTTCATCACATATCCAATTCCAGAGGGTCTTTCTGCAAGGAAATTTCACGAAAAAAACAATTGAGCCTCTCTTATACATTTTTGTTTTATATTTTCAAAAATATAAGAATTCTTTACAGATTTTGTCCGACTTCTGCTATTGACCCGTCCCTGTGTGTGGCGAAGCCAGGGCTCGTTACATGATTTTAACAGCGTTGCGCTCCTCCGAAATACTCTTCTAAAGCTAAGGGAATGAACTACCAGACAGGCTAAAAAATTGAAGAAAGGGTAAAAATTGAGGTGGTTCTTCAGCACTATGAGGAGACAGTCAGTAGTCAATCGATCTACTGATAATTTCTGTTTTTGTCTACGTCAATTGAAACTTCCCTCTTGAGCGCCAAACTTCTCTCGGTTTTTTTTTTTTTTTTTTTTTTTTTTTTTTTTTTTTTTTTTACGACCGAGGATTTTCCTTTGTGATGACTTAAAGCGAGGAACAACGTCCTGTGCAAAGAAATAACCTATGATCGGAGTTCAAAGCAAGTTGCAGACTCCATTACTCCTGCAGCTGAGAGCTCACCTCACGGAGGAAAATGAAATTGCTGATTTAACGATTTTGTAGTTAAAATGAGTGTTCGATACATTTAATGTAGATTTTACAGTTGAAAAAATGCTAATTCAACTACGGGATGGTTACATTAGCTTTACACTATTGTAAAATGTACATCTGAAACACGTCGTACATACATTTTAACAATATCATTGTTAAATCAGCAATCCATTTTTTCCGTGTTTGGAAAAAAAGCAAGAAGCCAGGAAAAGAGAACGAAAATTAACTATGTTTTTCAAAGATAGAAATAAACCGTAAATAAAAAGGGAATAGACCTATTTGTACCATCATAAATTCCATAATTAGACTCCCATTTGAGACTACATACTTATTTGAATTATTAAAATAATTAAATTTTAAATCTCAATGAAAACTCTTCACATTTAACATACCTAATTTTAAATCTCTGAAACTATGCACGCTTAAGTTCAATCCTAACATTAATCAGCGAGGTTTTAAACATTTTGAGAGCCGTATGATCTTTTCACTTTCGTGTACCCAAGTGCATACTGTTAAAGCTCGGAGTCGAACTAATCACCATTCAATCGTGACTCTCAAGTGACCGGGTGATGGGTGGTGGATGAGTGAAAAATACAAAGCAGATCAGACATAACGAGGTATAGTGTCTGCTCCTTGCCACGTCCCTGAAACAATGCCCAGCTTGCCTCCATTCTTACCCGATGCCCCCCCCCTTCCCCACTAAGATTGAGGCGAGTAACCCCCGCGCATCTATCAATAAATACAACCCGACCAATGTACACAACCATGAACATCGCGCCAGTAGCAACTCCAGCCAGGGGAGTCACCTCCTCCTCTGCCCTTGTTTAAAACCTGTTGCTCCTCTGAGACGCATCCAGACACCCAGACAGTGTTGCCTGCCTGGTTAGGGGGTGGAGGATCAGAGGCGGATCTAGCAATTTGGTAACACCGGGTTTCCTCCATCTAAACCTATGTTAAATAATCGATCTTTGTCAGATCACCTGGCCCCAGCAAGAATCGATATATTTTCATAGGTTCAAATGGAGAAAAACAATGTTGCCAATTTGCTGGATCCGCCCATGTGGAAGATCCGCGACGGTGGCAAGGCGTAAGTCGATTATCGATATTTCCCCATTTGAAGCTATGGTAAAGAATCGATTACTAAGGTGTTCGTTGCGAACACCCTGTTTATCAATCCTTTTTCATAGGTGTAAAAGGCAGATCAATCGATATATCGCAGAATAAGCCACACCACTGATCCGCAAATAACGCTGATGCTGATGCTGTACCAACGTCCTTTTTTCCAATAAGGGAAGATGCAGCCAAAAAGCTTAAAATTAGGATAAGTTTATTATCCAATTGCCATTATTGGCATCGCTGTTTATGATTAATTTTTTCTTTTTATTAATTTTCCTATTTTTTTTTTATTTTATTTTTGTTTCTTGGTCGAGGAGGGGGTTGAGACGACCCCGAAACGCTTCAGGTTTCTATATCTTTGTTTTTAGCCTTGTTTACCCATTGTTCTGGGTTTTTTCTAGTTTATGATTATCTAAATATTGTGGTTTATCTCTGTTGCAGATGGAGGCAGCCTCTATTTTAGGCCTGCTACAAGCTCGAGTAGCATTGGTCCCGGGAGGCCGAGACAGAGAAGGAAGGCCCATTCTCATAGTGCCTGCACCTCCAGAGACGCAGATTTGGAATAAAAACCGATTAGATACAGTTCTCAGATACTTCGCTTCTATATTCAGGCAAGTTTCTGTTTATGTGCTCTTGCATTGTATCTCACTGAGGAAAAAACTATGGCTTATAAACCAATTAGTGGTTCATATGGAACATCATTGGACGGAGTTAAACAGAAAGGAACCAAGCCACATCGGGATCGAACCGAGAAAAAGAGGTTTAAAGTTTGGCTCCTGCATAAGACTCAATGTAAAAGATAAACTTCAAGTTCAATTTCAGCGAAATTTGCTCCAACAAAAACTTTGAATTTTTGGCGATAGATAGTAGAGCAGTGGGTGAGTTCAAAACCACTCATAACTCAATTTTTTCCAAAATGTGGGTTGGTTCCTTTCTGCTTAACTCAGTCCCATTAATAGTTGTATATGAACTAATGATTATCGGTCTGTGAACCATACTGTGGTAGCTCGTACCATAGTATGGTATATATACCATAACTAAGGTATATGTACCATTATTATATGTCGCCTTCACTACTATTAGTGGTGTTCCACGTGAGTCACTAATAAGCCATAGATTTTTCTCCGTGCAGAAGCAGCGTATTTTTTTAGGACATCAGTCTGGCTCTAAAACTTTGTCTCTAGCTTTCTCCAAACCTGTTGTACCAGTAAATGTTTACTATTTTTTGTTTGGGAATATAGAAATGAATAAATCAATTTTCTAATATTTTTAGAGTGCAAATTTCAAATTTCGAGAGGGTGTTGATAGGATTTCAGTGTACTTTTAACTTTTTCGTTACATAATTCAAGTTATATTTACGTTGAAAACACAGTGGAAAAAAGTGAGTTTGAAACTTCATAACCTTACGTTTTTTTCTTCCTTTTTTGTCATCCTAAATTACTGGATACAATTAAAATCTCTCCACAAAGCACGGTCGTCGCATTAACAATCCGCTGGTGTACACATCGTTTATCTTGACGCCTTTTAAAGTCTCGAGTCCCCGAAGGAACTAATCGCTCTCAAACGAGAGTGAAAGCCATGTCTACAGCCGCTACGTAATAAATCCTGACAGTTAGAATGTCAGACAGCGTGAAAAACCTTTTAAACTAATAAAATCATAGACTGGTTGTCTATGTCGCGTTGTGGTTGCCTAATTCGTGGCCGGTCGGTTCAACATCTAATTTACTCTTCAAACACGCGAGAACAAGAGGGGGGGTGAGTAAGGGTCTAAACCAGCCGATAACAACGCAAGACCAATCTCTACCTACCTCTCCAGACATGTCTCGAGCCAGGTAAAAGGAGATTGAGGAGGGAAAAATTAGTTGATACACGTAAAATTGAATGGATCAACAGTCGAGAGCTCATACGTTCAGAGATGAACCACCGTGAAACGTATAATACAACTGTGCTTTCTCATTGATAATTTTGTTGTAAACGTACTCGCAGTTTTTATCAAAAAGGAGCCAAGCACACTCGAAATGGACGTATTTCTGACAAACGAAAGTAGGTGCATTAAGACATGAGCCCTGAGACCCATAAGAATATATGCATGATAGGGATCACTTCTTAATGCACATAGTTCGGTTTAGCATGAAATACGTCCAAATGGTATTAAATTGTATGGCAATTTTACTATCTCGTATAACATCCTGAAAGTTTGGGTTCTCACTGTTCCCTACGTTTAGCATTTAATTTAAGTGAAAAATGAACCTTCGTATGGCGTAGCTTACAACAAAATTTGACCTTACAGTAAAAACGAACGTGCTCTATCATTTCAAAGCAGAGAGAATGGTTGGTTGGTAAAGACATTAATTTACAGGTGCTTAACAACACTTAGGTCATTGACACTTTAGAAAATAGAGATCATGAAAAATACAAGAAATACAAGAAGGCGTGAAAGAAATAGCAGATTTTTTTCACAAAGATTTGGTCAATTTGACACAGGTGATCTAACACAAAAAAAGTAACCAACACCTCGTGTTACTCCGTGTTTTCCTACATCAACACAAAATTGGACGTATCTCTGCTGAACGGAACTATAGACGAGTGGGAAAGATGGAGTGTGCTCTAGAGAGCTGGATGAGAAACAATGTAAAAGTGGGCATGATCTCCTATGGGAAAATGGAAAAGCGGGATTCTATATTCAAGCAAACAGAACTAAGCGCCGACTGTATGCGGCACTCATGAGTCGTGAGCGTCCTGGACAGGGCTCTTGAGTTGAGACGGACGGCGGCCAAGCGCGGTGGCGACTTTGTCCCTGCTGACGTCACCGGCGCTTTATAATTCCCATTCATTCTTATGGCCCTCGACTAACGAGCATACTTCATTCTACTACATACTGCATACTACTACATTCTTTCCCACTTGTCCGGGGTAACATTTGGCAGAATGGACCACTAGACAAAGTACGAATGTCAGCATTCTGATACATGTTTCTTAACCAAAATTTCACTTAAAACACGATACACACAACGAAAATTACCGAAATTAACTCCTTAAACCACCCGCTCATGAAAACTCAATGCTCTACGTGATTCACATCGCGCGCTAAACGTTATGTCATGAACGTCTCTGCGATAAAAAAATCTGGCAACCTCAATCTTGACGCTTTAGCTCAGTTATAGCAAATTACTTATAGTTTGAAAAACACATGGTGGGGAATGAACATTGCTCGATTGAGAGGCTTGCCTGCTGAAACCGATGTAGTGCGCGATTTGACTCACGTAGAGCTTTGAGTTTCTTGTGAGTGGGCAGTTCAAAATCCGCGTAACCAATGTGAAATAAAAAGGTTATTATCTTTGTTAGGGGTTGGTTTCGGTAATTTTCGTTGCGCGAATCGTGTATTACGTGAAATTCTGGTTAAGAAACATGTATTAGAATGCTTGAATTCGTGTCTTGTCTAGTGGTCCATTACATCCAATTTTGGTTACTTGTTCTTACTTTTTGTGTAAAGATGTGGTTATGGTTGTGTTTCAGTCCGGACACACGGCGGAATGGGGTGTGTGCGATCGTGGACGCGCAGGCGAGCTCGTGGCGAATGGCCCGACTGGTGGTGCGCCAGGTGAGCGAGACTCTCGGCAGAGACGTTTCAGCGCTCATAGTTCTTCGGCCGGAGGCCTTCTGGGACAAGCAACGCGTCGACAACTGCGCCCGATCTCACAAGGATGGAGAGGTATGCAATGATTTTTTATCGAATTATCGAATGATCCTGATCGATACAACCCTATCTTATTAGCAATGTTTTTATCGATTAAGGTCATTCGATATAGATTCAAAAGTCGAGCCAAAGCTCGTGGAAAACGCCTACACTGGAAAAAGAACACATTGGATCTAGAGTCCAGACTCTTGAGAACATTGACAAGAAAAAGGACCCTTGATTCAAGCAGATTTAAGCTGAAATCAAAAGGGAATCCGCTCAAATTAAGAGACTTGGTTCTTAATTTAAGCTTAAATCTGATTGAATCAAAATTATTTTTTTTTGTCGATGTTTTTAAGAGTCTGGACTCTAGATCCAATGTGTTTTTTTTTCCAGTGAACTATTTCCTACATGATATATTTTATTAAAACCCACGCCATGGCGGTAAAATCAAAACGAATCAATAAACAATACGAAAAAAGAACTTGAGCTGAGCCTGATGCGATGCGGGGGTGAAAAAATGTCTACAGTGCACGCACGCATACCGGAGAACACAATTTTTCCGCAAGCACTGTTATACAAGGAGGTCGGAGTAATTTCAGCTGAAAACTTTCCGCAGTCGACGTAATTTTGACCAAAAAATCGGCGCCGCACAATGGGTCGGCGGAACGGGAGAGGTCGGACAGAATTTGGAAACTTTATAAACTTATGACTCCATTTATATAAAACATTAAGGCTCTAAAAGCAATTTCATTGGTTTCCTCATAAAATTTTCTTTATTAAGCACCCCTTGAATTTTAAATCAAAATTAAATTAAATTTAACAGCACAATTTGAAGTTTTGGTTAAAAATGTCATGTCCGACCTCTTTGATTGACTTGATTCACTGAGCGCCGTCCAAGTAACTTAAACAAGAATAAATATCGTAATTATATGCAGCGCCTTCAACATCGTGTGAATACTTCAAACGCTACACCGTTGTACGCACGTTCCGTTGTGCAAATTGCCTATACTGCTCCTGCCAGAGTGTTCACCGTCTTTTGAGGTTCACACCACCCACCCACGATCCACGGATCGCGCGATTGACATTTTGCACGCTTGTCTGAGAGAGGTGTGACTTTGGCAGATGGCGGTGGGACTCCATGGCATATTCAATAGCATCGCGAAACTCCGAGTATTCACTCACACCTTCAGCCTCGCCTTTCAAAGTGAGGCTGTATACTCAAGATCTGAGTTATAGCTTGGTACGAGACACTCGATCAGATGCTCATTATGGTCCATAATAAAATATGATTGCATATTCATCGTGAAATCATGCTAATACCTATTTTGACCGTGACATTGCAAAAAAATATGTTCTTAATTTTTTGAGAGGTAATATACCAATTTCACCGCTTGAAAGTGTTACGAGATAACAAGGAACAATCATCGAGGAAATTTTTAAAAATTTCGTCGAGTAATTTTTATTTACCCAACAAAAAAAAGTATGATAGGGAGTTGAAAATTTCGCAAATAATGAAATATGAAGACTAAGATCAGAAGAAAAAGGAATGAATAAGTAAGCTGCAAAGTCAAACACTGTGTTCTCCTCCACTTGAATTTTAATGGTCGCTATCGAAGCATTCAAACTGATTTATCCCATTTCAAGATTAAAATGATCGGACTTGCAATTAATCCTGTACACTCGTAAACCTTACGATCAGTTAAAAAAAAAAAAATCGAGCCGACCCCATGTAAAAGGTAGAAAACGTTCTCAAACCTGCCCTATTTGTGAAAAATAAATAAATGATAATTTATTTCAATGATTTTTTTTACTGGCTCCTAAAAATACAACAAAAATAATCATCGTTTTAAAAAATTGATTTTTTCATTTCAGCCTACCTACACACCGCTGTCCAGATTGCACAAGTATGTCGACCCATCGCAGCTGCCTGCAGAATTGAACGGTACCTGGCACTATAACCATGATCAGTGGATTCACAATCGAAATGTAAGTTTACCATCTAATTATACGCTCATTAAATTCATATTTAAAATATAATTTTTGATATAATATTTCGCCATCAGGTAGAGTTCTCCCGTCTGAATTCGTTATTTACTTTTTCCATACATCAGATTTCTTCCATCGCGAACTTCCTGCTGAATTCATCGATCTTTCCTGTGTCTCGTCATGCTTCTTCGATAATTTTAAAAAGTTGTTGCAAGGAATGGAAAGAATTGTTCGCTGTCGACCGTGATGTGAGCTTCCAGCCACCGTCATGTTAATTGGTCCAGCTCACAAGAAACATAGTTGTCAGATTCAGCAATCAATCATTCAGACTTCCACTCGCGGGAAGCAATGACTCAACACAGGATGATAATTTCTCTTTCCGTAAGGGTCGGTTTTTTAGTCAGAGCGGGCTGAAATTCTTATACATGAAACAACTGTAGGACAAAATTAACATCGAGGAAATTATTTTTTGATTGTCAAAGCTTAGTTCAGTCTCTTGATGTCAGCTCTAGTGAGTGAACTGAATAGTGCCTCATCTTTGACCTATGTCACTATGGTATGGTGCTACGGTAGGTATTTACGTACGTTGGGGGAAAATAAATCTGATGTGATACAGGAAACGTTGTTTACTGAGATCAATTAAAGATGTAAAATGTTTAAACCGTTTTGACCAATTTTTTTTTTTTTTTTTTTTTTTTTTAAATACATTTTTAATACGATATGGAAATTAAAAACTCGGCAAGCACCAGTAGGCGGTGAGAATGTGAAACACCTCAACTTTAAGGAATTTTTATTGATAAATTATCTACAAATTTTGGTTGTATTTTTATGAATCGCTATTCTCAAGCCAATGAATTTTCAAGCCTATTCTCTTGAATTATTCTCAGGGCCATCGGATGGCCCTGGATTTTTGTAAGGAAACTGTTGCACAGTCCAAGCAAAACCTGAAAGCGCTAACCAGGTTTTGAATTTCCATTCCTCAAAAGAGTTCTCAAGTTTTGTACAAACCATATGTCTTTTCAAAAACAAAATCAGCGATTAAAATAATCACTAGCCGTTCTAGGAGCACACGAATGAAAAAGAATACCGCACTATGTGTCATCCTTGTACGGGATACTACGGAGGAAAGCTGTGCGGATAATTTCCGGAGCGTGCTCCTTCTTTCACAGATCTTTGCACGGTAGTTCAGCTGATTGCATGATTATACCCAGTCCTTCCGAGGCTGTGTAACCATTGTCATAAACACGTCCAGTTCGTAAGCACTCTTACGATTACTGTATACGTGAAAAAATGTGTGTATTTCACTCTTAATGAGACATGGGCTCCATAAAAAATTGCACAGCCATTGACAGAAGCCCAGTTCTCCATTAAAATTTCTTGAATCCAAACCCTTCTAGGGGTCATAGAGAAAATCGTCGTCATGTCTTCCGTGCTTTTCTGTTTTTTCTTGCTAAAAAAATCAGTACAATTCACTTCTGTAAGATGAAAAGGATCGCATTTAGCAAAAAGGAACCGGCGCGATCACAAAGCTTTCAAAATCGTGCAACTACTCCTTTTCTTTTAAAAATACGTAATTTGTGCACATTATGAGAATTTCCACAATTACTTTCCTTTAAAATTAACAAGTTGTTGGTGGGAAGCCAAAACTAATTACTATACAGGGAGATTTTTTAGATAATTATGGAGAGTCAACATTTGTACAACATTGTAATCGCGCTGGTTCTTTTTTGCTATATGCGATTTACGTGTGATTCCTGCAGATGATGCAACTTTCCCAAAAAGATCAGATTTGAAAACCGAAGCAAAATTCGCTGAGAGCCAATTATCATTAAAACTGCATTATTTTATAACCATGATTAAACCAAGAGAAAAACAGTTTATAAGTTCAGGCTATTTGACCATGCTCAAATTTGTCAGTAAAAACTCTTAAATGATTTTGAAAATGACAGAATTTCCTTATTTTAAACATAACTCCAAAGTCACATAAATTATACGTCAAGAATAGTGTGGTTTGAAACATTCTGACTAAATCATTATGCAATTTTTCCTTACAAAATTTATCAGTATTTACCAAATCTTTGGTACTTGCCTAGCATGGTTTTCTCGGTTCCTTGCTTTTGAAAATTTGCAGCAAAGACAAGAGAAATTTTTTTTCTTGATATGAACCTCAAACTGATCATTCACGGACGAGAATTTTTTTTAAATTAATAGCTGAAAAACTTTTATCAGTGGACGTTGCGATTCAGCATTACGTTGTTTTTTTTGTAAAAAGAACATCAAATACCCTCGCAGTTCAGTTTACAGAGTTTTAATTGGACAAAACCATAATTTAGCGCAGAAGATTAATATTTACTCAGGATCAATTCATTCTTTTTCTTCTTCATATCAAAGATAAAAATATTCGAAACCAGCGAGATAAAACCCAGCGAAAATTGGAACCAGCGAGATATATAAATGGAATTTTCGAGAGAGAAAGAGACAGAGAAAGTTTCTGCGACTTACACTGAAGCGCGCGCGCGGTAAGAGGAGGAGGGGGGTTAGAGCCCCGACCATTTGAAGTTGCGAAGCTCGAAGCTCGAAGCTCCAGGTGCAGGCGTGCTCATTAACCTGCCGTTCGAATCGCTTGATCCCGCATCCATGCATGGTTGTCGATTATCGAACAGAATTCTCATGTTGCATTGGATTTTTACGGTGAAATTTCAGAGGCGCGGCAGCAATGGTCACGAGAAGCTGTCTTGTTTATAGAAATTGCTTATTTTGTATTGTCACGTTTAAGGAGCCGCACTGAAAAAAAAAATCTCGGTGTATTTACTAAGAAATTTGTGAAATTACCAAGAATTAAGGGTTCTATTTGATCCCAGTTTTTTCTTGGTAAAATTACCATTTATGGAATTGGTAATTTTACCGAGAAATCTCGGTAAAATTATTGAACTTTCTCGGTAATTTTACTGGACCTTGGTAAAAACGCCAATATTTTTTATCGACTGTGGTAGAATTACCGAGATAAAATGGCAAAGTTACCGGGAATTGATTACCAATAAAAGTAATATTCTTACCTGGAAAAAACAGTGAAAATACCGGTTTTTAGGCCTTACCAGTCTGTCTTGGTAAAATTACCAATAATTGGTAAAAAAAAGTGAGATGGTAAAGGTACCAACAGACCTTGGTAAAAACGCCGAGAATTTTTTTTCAGTGCGATGTAATTTTTCACTTGATCCGGCAACGAGTGATCGGGTCCCCGTCATGCACCGGATCCAATGGGCAACAGGTTGCCTATCAGCCCAGCGTCGAGATTTATGACAACTCCCAGTATCCGGTTTGCAGCCATCGCTGTTGTGATGCGATGTCAGATTTTGTGTGAAATCTCCGTGTTCTCGTACATCCCTGGCAACGAAGCTACTCGAAAAAGCTTCTATAAGACGTGTAAATTTTAAGAATACGCGGAAAAACCTGTCACAGTTTACGTGTAAGAACAACCTTCCCCGATATTTTATGGAAAAATTTCATATTTTTCAGAAAAATCTGGAGAATTGATTTCTGATATCTCCAACGTTTAATTTTTCCTTGTTTTCGAGATATTCTCGATGCAAAAAGAGCCCCGTGTTATTTTCTATGAGGGCAAAGAAAATGGTCACCCAACCAATGAACCAACCAACCAGACGGATCAACCAATCAGAGACGACTCGTAAAAGTAGGGGGTGCCACTCGCCGCGTAATTCAAATTGCGACTCTTGTTTTCTCTTTGATGAGCACTCTCCGGCAATCATCAGCGGCCACTTCCACCGATTAGATCACTTCAATTTCTCTTAGTCTTCTTTGTATGTCTATCGCTTTGTCTAGAGTACCTGTATACGGGAGAGTATTGCCATCTCAATCCTTTCACTACAGAAAAAGTGTGCCACTTTCTGATTGGTCGGCTGCGTCATGGAGCCCCGAAGTTGGACTAATATTAACAAACCCTATAGCCCCTCCGCTCCGAATTTGGCCCAGTGTAAATAAAAAAGATGGCGAAAAAGCTCTACAAAAGTCTATAGACGTGATTTTGGATGTGATAAAAACATTTTTTATAATCAACTTCTGAATTGAGTGCGGATCGAACTTTGATGTTTTTGCCGAAAATTAACCTTTGAGTGTGATTATCATTCATTTCTCAGCTGATAATACGTCTTCCTCTGGGTCGGGTTTGTTTACATTGTGCCAATGTTAAAGCTCTATGATAGCCTATGAAAGAACGGCACAGAGATGGCAATACTTTTTAAAAAAAAGGTGCTTGGTTCAAACATGATAATTCATGAATTTGCCGCCAAGAATTTGTTTAATCTTGATTTAAGCTGAATTTTTATTGATACAAGCAAAATAATGCTTGCGTTAAGCGAAAAAGTAGTTCCTTTTAAACAGAAAAATTCTTGATTAAAGAAAAAATTCTTTTTGACGGCAAATTTAAGATTCTTTTCTTTTACAGCGTACTCTCCCGTTTATTGTATTCTAATTACCGCGACTCAAAAATGCAGTTGCGTTTTCCTGCTTCGCGTGAACTTTTTTCGGGTCGAATCTGGCTCTGCCGGAGCCGAACCGAGGACCGGACAACTCGGCGGTCGAACCGGGCGGCAGCGCGGCGTCCGAATCCGGGAAACCAGTCGGATGCTCCCGGCGAAATGTCACTGCGTTCCTGTTCCGATGTCGCTCTCACGTGGCTACAGCTGGCTGCGGTCCCGATATGGTCCTCCTTCTGGTCCAGCTGGTTGTCCGACCAGACGCGCAGAAAGGAAAGTTGCGAGCCCGTCGTGAAAGGTTATGCGCTTGACCGCCGCGTCGCCGGCTCAAGTTCACTGCGCCTTCCACTCCGCGCGAAAAGAGCGAGTTGCAACCGGGACGACCTCCATCATCGTGCTTTACCATCCATCAGAATAGAGAGCTTTAGTGACTACGTCATTCTATATAATATCGAACTCTGGTTCAGACCAAAAGAAACTAACATAACACTGAAAAAAATAGCTTGG